TTAACAGTAATATAAAACTAAGGGTACATTGTTTTAATGATAACTCTATGTAAGCCCTGCAGTTAGCTACAGAAGACTGTGGTAGCATTCATTTTATGACTGACTGCTGGTCTTACAGAAAAACATGAAATGACCACGACCTTTTATTACAGCATTACATGGTGGTGGTATGTAATGTGATGAAATTATATGCCATCAAAGTGAAAACAATGATAGTGGAAAGCCAATTAGGATCCTTTGTCATGTCGGACACACTTTTCCTGGTTCAACAATGTCATGCAATGGTGATGTTAGGGAAGGGTCGGGAGGGAAAAGGTCGGGGTGGTGGTTGAGTTGAGCAAACACAGGACTTTCACCCTGAAGACTGCTATTTGTGTACTGTTTGATACTGAAAGTCACAGTTGAGTTGTTTTAACTCGATGTAGTCACGTCTTTTACATAACAAATATATTTTAACCAAAAATCACTTTTTCTAAACCCAACTAAGTGCTTTTGGTACCTAAACCCAACCATGCTGCCCCCTTGTAATTTAACACATCACATGCACCACCATGTAATGTGGTGGTAGGTCATGGTCATATCATGTTTTTCTGCAAAGTCACGATGCATTGTGATAGGCTGTGGTTGTAGCTTTGATGAGATTGTGCACATGGCAATAGATAAGAACATTGCTGGGGTTATGACAATTGTTGAATTGTTGGCTGTTATGAATAGCAAAGCTGCAAGTTTTTAATAAAGTGCTGATGCATTACATTGAAATGGTTTGTCTGAGTGTTGTGGCGAAGCTATTCCTAAACTCCTGTGGTGTATTGTTAACACATCTGTTAAACCTAATAGATGTAACAGGTTCACGTTCTGGTTGGAACTTTGCAGCTGTCTTAGCCAATGTAACTATTTTAGGAGCTGGAAAGAGTAGCCAGCCACTTACAATCACAGCCACAGCTGTTGTGATAGATATAGCCATACAGCTACAGCAATAGCCACAACTACAGCCTAAGCCTCAGCCATGGCAATAGTTGATACCTGCATTACACAATATCTTGATCAAAAAGTGATAGTACTTCGTCGCACAAAGTAGTACCTGTCCCACTCTGTGAGGTTCTGCAACATATAGGATCTGACACAAATTAAACCCTGGTCAGAACCCTGAATGTAAGCCATTGTAGTGAAGAGAAATGGCAAAATCCTTATGATAGAGGACTGTCTTTTTCTCTCTGTCCTGGAGAGGTCTTTTGGTCCTCAAAAGGAAACAAAACCACAAACAAACAAAGCTGTCTTTACTCCTGTACACTTACTGTATGAGCTAATTTACTTGCAGGTGTGCATGCAGATAAGTAATATTTTCCTATGCAGCTCACTGATTCCAAATCACCCTATCAGTGCAGGAGGCATCAAGGGTGCAGGTCTCGTTCATACTGTAATCAGATAATTATGTTCTAATAACATCAAACTCAAAGCTCTCGTTCTCTCTTGGCTCACTGCTGTCTTAAGGGGCTCTGTGGGTGAAATGTAATGATACTGAGAAAGTCTACTGCCTTTGCAGATGGTCTTTTAGTTGCTGATTTGCATTTTGGAGGGCTTCTGCTCATAAAACACAATAAAGTATTGCTAGAAGGTTGAGTGATAGTGGGTCACTGCTGTTGGCAGGAGAAGCTCCAGGTTAATGTCTTTTCCATGCTTTTAAATAAATTGGATGTTTGGCTCGATTTTGGGTATTTGAAAACCTGAAGGTCCTGAAAATCTTTTTTTTTTTGTTGATCAGCTACTTACTATGAATGATGGGATCCTACATGATGTCATTCTGCCAAAGTGAGTACAGATATGGTTATTTCTCAAGTATATTTTGTGTTTTTCTTTGTGCCCTCCTTACTGGTTTGAAGTGGATGAGTCTCAGTCGGACAAATGTGATGTCATGTAATTTTGTGCACCAATCAGGATGTAGAAATGATAACTAAGGAAGTTTTTTGTCAAACTTTGATTGATGATTATTCAATCATTCGTATTTAATATCATAAAGAAATACTTTTATGGGCCTTAAGCCACTAGCACACTAATTCACTGGCTGTGATGTTGCTAACACTTTAGCACACATTATAGAGACTCTGGTGGTCTCCAAGATGAGACTTGAGCATAGCATACACACTCTAAGCATACACTTTTAAGTTATAGGAGACACTTGTACCATATACTGTTGTATGGTAACAAGTTTAGTGTTGAACAATAGTGGGTTTCTTGCTAACACTAACAAATGCAGTGTCAATGCATTTCTAGGCACCATAACAGGTCATCGAGGCCAGTCCGGTTCCTCAAAGTACAGATGAGAAATGAATCACTCTTTGGTCCAAATTTGGATCACACAAATGTATACCCTTTGCAACCATCAGTATTCCATTGTCTTAAAGGTCTAGTGTGTGGGATTTAGTGGCATCTAGCTGTGAGGTTGCAGATTGCAAACATCTGAAGCTTCTCCCTAAATGATTGCATGACATCCAAAAACAAATTATAGTAATATGGGCTGATGATATGACATTAAATGATATCATCAAATGATCAAATGATATAATCATTCATCAGTCATGAATCCTCACGGCACACGAACTATCCTACCATGTGTATTATAACTGCAGTAAAAGTTCTTTGCTAAATCTTCTCACTGTCGAATGGAAATCCCACACTATCACTCAACATGATTTATGTTAATGTGTTAGAAGATCTGTGATTTCTATATTCTCATCACTGAATTGATGACTTGGCCAAGATATCAATCACCCAAAAGCTCTGTGGGATAGTGTTGCACGGTATACCGGTACTAAAATAGTACCGCGGTACTAGAGTATTCCAAACGGTACTATACTGCATTTGGAAAATACCGGTACTTTGAAATTGATTCAATTCATTAATTTAGTTAATTTATTTTACTCATTTATGCACACAAATTCCTTTCTTGTTCCTATTGGAGCACAGATTGTGCAAGTGGTGTTTATGACAACACCTGTATCAACATTTGCAGCTGGCCCAAGAGAAAGTCTGCCTCGCAAAGGGACACAACACGAGACAACACCAACTTAGTGAAACATTTGAGCAACCAAACCGTGACGTCCGTACCGAGGTACTTACCGAACCATGATTTTTTTGGTACCGTTACACCCCTACTATTTATTGTTCTAAAGGTTTGTATCCAAAAGAACTTTTCCTTAGGAAAAGTCCGGAAGAGTATTGAAAAGTATCTAAAGTCATATTGGTATTGTGATTCCAATGTGTTGCTTCACATCTGCTTCTCAGTTTCATGTCAGCTGACACAGGAATTCATAACAACAGCTTTTGTGCGCTGAGAATAGACCAGGAGTCAGGAGGGCGACTGTGGAGTGTGTGTGTGTGTGTGTGTGTGTGTGTGTGTGTGTGTGTGTGTGTGCGTGTGCGTGTGTGTGTGTGTGTGTGTGTGTAAGCAGAATGATGGGTGTCAACAGGTGATAACCTTGCATGTGCATGTGTTATGAATGAACACTGCAGAGAATATCCATATTATAACAAGGATCAATCTTATTTTTCCACAAAATATATCTGATAGTGTGATAATAGGGAGATTATTGAATTGATTTCCAGTGCAAAGCAAGCAAGAGCAGCAAAACTTGTTTTCCCATTTCAAGACAAAATATATTTTTAGTCTTAAATACTTCACTTTCTTCTCTTTTGTCTGATAAATTACAGCTTCACTATTTGGTGTATGTGCATGGTTAAAGCCTGTTTGCTCTGTACACAGCGATTATGTAAATCTTGAGGAATTAGTTATTAAGCTCACTCCAGGATGTTTGTTGTGAAAATATTCTGACTTCCATTTCACAATTACAAACTATGCATGGAGTCTTTCAACTGAAACTATTTCAAAGGTACTGGCAAGTGAATATCTTGATGGAAGTTGGATTATTATGATATAATGTGAAATGCATTGAAACTAATAAAACTATTTGCCACTGTAGTACTGACAGGTCGACTGAGAATATTGTGGAACAAGTTTAAAGAGGACCTATTATGCTTATTTTCAGGTTTATACTTGTCTACTAGGATGTGTTTACATGCTTTAATGGTCAAAAAACACTTTGTTTTTCGTCATACTGTCTGTGCTGGAACACCTGTATAGACCCTCTGTCTGAGAAGGTTCTATTTAGTGTCTGTCTCTTTAAGCCCCCCCTCCTGAAAAAGTCTGGTCTGCTTTGATTTATCAGTGTCTCTGGGTCTTCCTAGAATGATTTCAATAAGTTAAGATTAAATGGCTCTGGGTCATCCGAATTTCGGCATCTCTGCACTGTCCTTGCTGCCAGGGAATACAGTCACAAAGAGTAGCAGCATATTGTACGTGAAAAATCACCAAAAATCTACATGACACAATCAGACATGTTCCAGCAGGAATATGATCTGTATGAGGGAGAAATTAACAACATTAGCAACCAAGATAACATCTTTGCTGTTAGCATGTCGCTACATGTACATTAGTAGTGTACTCTGCATCATCATTGCAGCCATGTAATGACTGTCACGAAGAATAACGGCAAAAGCTTCTAAACACAACCAGACATGTTCCAGCAGGAAGGAATCCAAACCCGGGGTGAAATAATCATCTGAAACCAAGTTTACATGTTTCACTGACGTTAGCATGTAGCTACATTTAAGAGTGTAGGCTACATAATGTAAACATTTGCAGCAGTGTGCCTAAAGCAGATGACTATATGAAGAATTCCATCCAAGCTTACGTCATACTGTAGCCAGAGCGGAAAAAAACGTCAGAAACAGAGGGTTCGGAACGGTAGAAAGCCTGAGGTTTTTGCTCACAGGGATTACTTTTACATATGCACCACCTTATTTGACACTTTAGCCACATCTAATATGAACATCCTTCACTGTAACACTATATTTATGACACAAAATATGGAAAAGGCAAAGGCTGAATAGGTCCCCTTTAATATGTTTTCAGTATGTTTTGTATATTTTTTATTTTTGATGTATATTTATATAGTTTTTGTATATTGTATATTTCTGTATATTCCACCGCTTGACTAAATTTTGGGGTATTTATGTCAATTCTGGTACATTGAGAGCAAGTGTACCGTAGTCGAATTCCTTGTATGTACACCCGTACTTGGCGAATAAAGCTGATTCTGATTCTAAAATCCCAAGACAAGCTTGTCATTTTTATTTTTTACATTGGTTATATGTTTATGGGTCTACATATGGTATGTGTATGTGTTTACCACTATAGGAGACAGTTTGTCCCAGTGGGCTTCCATAGCTGATGTTACCTAACCAACCTTTTCCTGGACCCCAGCAGAGTGAGCTGCATCTCAGCTCCCCTCGCCCTTTTACAGACATTATGCTACGCAGCAAGGCATATCACTGCACATTAGAGAGCCATTAGCTAACAGGCTGCCTGTGGACGTTCCAGGCTGCAAAGACTACAAAGCCCCTTAAACCTGATATTAACATGCAGCTTGTGTGCCTGGATTACATTTTGGTGGAGTGACAGCATATAAAATGTAGATATTTGGATGTCTGAGATGACTTTAGCCACATCGATAAACATGAAAATACTAAGAAAAAGAAAAAACAAATATCAAAGAGGCGGCAAGAAAGTGTGTGTACTGGTGGTAAATGTAAAAATAAATGTAATCCAGCCAAATCGCGTTTAGACACGGAGTGCATGTTACTGCCAGGTGGAAGGGTAGAGCAGCTGATGAGAGAAACATTTTACAGTTTGAAAGGGGTGCCTTGCATTCAGATCACGAACCAGTGTTATGTGTCTTATAAAGGTGGAGCGAGTTACACAGACAGGCAGCTGAGGGGACAGTTATTATTGTTAAACTGTATTGATTCTGTAGGAAACTGGACCATTTCATCTTCTCTCCATTGCGGATCGATCTCCAAGCTACACACCAGAGTTGCTTGGGTTTAGTGTGTGTCATGGAGAATTACATCTGAGATTGAGATCTCGTATTGGGCAGTTTTCTCTTGAGGTTCGCTGTTGCCTCTTCAGCTTTTGAGACACGTCTATGTTTTAGAGATGATATTTCCAGCTGTTGAAGTCAATGTTTAGCCAGATGAAAGCTGAGCCAAACGCTGCCGGTATTTCAGGTGATTGCTCCCAATTTTTCAGCAACGCCTGCAGGGGATCCTTTGAGCACTCCTTCAGCCAGACAGGCACTCATTTTGCACATTCGATTGCTAAGAAAGTCCTGCTCAGGGAGATCGAGTTGGCATCCTGATCAGCTCGGGACTCGCTCATGCAAAGTTCAGAGTTTATGCTTTGTTGTTTCCGTCTTTTCAACACCTCTTCTGGGAGAGCCTTTCAACTGAAACCACACATCTACCTGTGTTTTTAACTTTTATCTTCTGGGGAGAGAGTTCCTATGAAAACTAGGTTTTCTCCATTAGAGGTGTAAAGGGTTTTCAAGCTCTGTCTCTTTGCAGACAACACTTCTGTTAAAACAAGATGCCACTGTGTTCACAGCATGCTTGTCTCATGTTATAGCTCCAATCGAAAATAGACTATGTGAAGTCACACAGCTTGTGTGATTGATGATGTGTGAACCTTCACTCTGCACTGAGAGAAGACTGGTGTGACAGGCAGAGGCTGTGAAGATTAGAGGCGCTATCTTCTGCTTCAGTTTAACTTTTGAACTGGAATGTGCTCATGTCATCAAAGAACTCGTCATCACTTTTTGGCACTGAGCAAACCTTTCAAATGAAAGTTGATCATTAACTGTGAGCAGCATGAGGATTTTATACAATGTTGTTATGGATGATGACAGCACACAGTCACTGGCAGACAAACTCACACATTCATGCTGTACTTTTGCATGAACACACATGGGCAAAAGCAGCTATGTGAACAGTCAACTCACTCTCTCTTCCTGCTGTCCAGCAAAATGCCACCTGTGTTTGAGGTCTATTCCTGCAGGTTGTTACTGGAGTAGAAACTGGATGTCTCTGATACTGTTTTGGAGACACTCCGGGATGATGACCCATTCGAGGTGAGGTCCAAGGAGGAGCTATGTGGTCTGGCCCCAACCGTGGCCCCACCAGGTCTTTGACCTGCTACCGCCTTGACCTTGGGCTGCTCTATGTCATCTCCAACCTGAAGAATAGTTGACACGGTGGTCTCCATCCGACTGGCCTTGTAAACGCTTGTCTGGGTTTGAAGGTAGCGAGTGGACTTGAGTTCCAGACCTTCGTAAGAGCCTTGAGGGACGCAGGGGCAGAAGCGGAAGGCTTGTTTAAAGCCAGCACGAAACCTGAGCAAAGAAAACACAGATTAATTTTATTTAGTCTGGTTTGTGTGTACATTTAAAAACAGTGTGAATTCAAGTGGTTGGCTCACCCACCAGGGCTGAAAATGTAACTGCCAATTAAAGAGTTTTATGTATTACAGAAACATATTCTGTCTTACAGGAACATAATTCCACCCACCCACTTTTTCTTCTAAGACCAATGTTGGTGATAGTTTGCTTGCAACATCCTGAATTTGTCATTGTTCAACATTCTCATCGTTCTTTTTGAAAAATCTGAAGAAAATTTGTGAAAGGAAAAGGCAGAAGACCACTGACTTCTGTTTCAAGGCAGGTATGTAAGACTTGCTATGTAGCCTATTTGGTGTGGAAGGAAGCCAGAAATCTCTGCTCTACCCTGCAACAAGGGGCAGTTACAAGATAATGGATAATGCTAAGTCAGCAAAACAATAGCACACAATTAAACTGACTGAGTGATATCAGTGACACAATAATTTCTAATTAACCTCCTGGGACCCGAGCTCTTGTTTGGTATGCATTTATAATTTCTCCTAGCTATGGGATTAGTAGGACCTGATAAGTATAAAAAATAGTCACAATTATTAAAGTGTAAAACTGTAAACGCTGCAACCTTTGTTCAGTGTTTTGAGTTAGGGTACCCTGCTCAAGTCTAAAACAGTTCAAAACTGTTCATTTCAGTGCCTTAACACGGCTGTGCAAATAATGCAACGTATCTAAAATCCTCGTATGCTCTATATACCAAGCTGTGTGTCCTTTTTGTCTGTAGGAATAGTCTGTCACCCCTAACTGGCCCGTTTGAAATGTTGTGATAATACAATAATATAGTCTCAATGTCCTCAAATGAGTACTTCCTGATTAACATCATCTTAGCTTGTTAATATATTTAAATTTGTTGAAATCTATATGCCATATCAAACAACAGATGTTACTGAGCATGGGAAAAAAGCAAGTTTCAGCCATGAAATCTGATCAGGTTGTGTACCTTGTCCACTTTTGTGTCCTGATCGAGTTTAGACTGTCTTGGCAGAGATGGCTGCCATCTTGTTTAAACATGGATTAGGGTACAAAAAAGTGTCCATAAACAAAGACAACAGGTCTATGTTAAGCAAATTGAAGGATAAGGTGCAGCAATCCAAAAATGTCATGTCCTCATATGAGGACGCAGGGTTGCAGGAGGTTAAAGTTTGCTAACTTTATCCATCATGATATGGCTCATATGGACACAACGCCAAATTAATGCTAATGTTGCTCAGTGTCTGCCAGATGTGTAAAAAGCAACACGTTCTTACTCCTAACTTGTCAAATACAGCAGTTTGGTCAGTGGCCATTAGCTTTAAACTACGTATGATGCTCGAAGTACCCCTTTAACGTCACTTTTGGATGCTAAGGCAGGTGTGTCCATTACATGTATAGTATCTTTTTTTAAACAAACTTCTGTGTTCATAGGAGGTTTCTTCACCAAAACTACTTTAGGTTTAGGCATCAGGACTATACTTGCTTAGGTTTAGAAAAAAGATCATGGTTTGGGTTAAAATAGTTGTGTTTGTTACGTAACTTAAATAACTTAATGTCTATGTTATGTGACATAGTGACTCATGTGAAGCCTGTCACGGGCTCCCCTCCCACCTGCCCACCTTACGCCATCTTTCTCGATCTTTACACTACACCATTTCCACAGATGGATTTACATTGGAGTTCAGTAAAAGCCCAGTATATCCCTAAAAGACGCTAAAACGGTGCCCTGTGCATTGGATACAGATGCTGAGTCCACTGACCAAGCTGCTTTATTTGACGTTCTAAAAATCAGAAAGATCTGTAAATAGTTATGAAGGTACAGATATAATATGATGATGATCACACAGTTTACAGAAATCCCAGATAAATAAAATCCTCCCACAGTGATCCTAAATCACTATTTATACATTGAGCAACAATTTTTTCCACTTCACACTTGCAAAAATAGTCATTTGGAAATCTCTCCAATCTGACATGACATTTTACTTTATGCTACAGCTTGATGTAAAACCAGATTAACAGGCGTTTGGTAGAAGACTGACTGATCGGTGTACTGTAGCTAACAGAGATGCAGTGTAAAAAAATTAAATAAAAAAAAGCTTAAGAGCAAAGAATGTGTGTAACAGGGGCATTCTTATGTTAATTAACACTAAATATTGCATGTGGCATTTACTGATGACCTTTATTGAAAACCAGCACTTGATGTTTAGTGTGACAAAAACCACAGAGGGGAGAGATGACAGAAATAAGAATTGTGTGGTTGAGATAAAGAACTTACAAGGGGCTGGCAGCAGAATGGAAACACATTGACTTAGTAAACACAAAAACACAAATACATACAAAGTCCACACAGGGAGAGAACTAAAGAAGGGAGGGGTGTGGGAGCAGGAGACATATATGAGAAGAGATTGATGGAAACTGAGTGGAAAAGGACATCATCAGTCATGCGTTTGAATTTAAATCGGCTGAGCTGATAGAGACAAAAGCTGGTCATCATTCTGTACAGAATGATGACTAAACCGCGGCTCACTGTGGTCCATCCAACATATTTTCATTTTTAGTATTTGATTAATTTCAGAGGTGAAAACACCCAAGTGTGAAATCTTATTTCTCTGGCAGCACAAAGACAACAGTCAGGTGGCCAAAATGCCAGACAATGGGAGGTGACTAATTAAAGACGACAGGCAGAGTTGACCATCTGTCTCTATTTTACAAATCTCTAAATTTGCTGACATTTTCGTTGACAGGCAGAATGCTAATAACACCCCAGTTTGACAGTAAATTGTTGATGTTCACAGTGGGATTGATTCAGCCAGTTTCAGAGATGGTTTTAAAGTTTGAAGTTATTCTAACTTCAGTTCAAGTGTGGAAGTCATGTAAGTGCACAGAGTTTCTATCCAGAGAGATGACAAAGTGAGCACAAGCAGCCTCTCTACCGCTGTCAACTGCTTGTCACTAAGGCAGAAGCGGAGGATGGCATATATATTATGTGATGTGTGTACCTGTGTGTGTGTGTGTGTGCATAACTGACTGCGGTCCTGATGGACAATATGATTGCTTCTAAACAAGAAAATATCTATTTTCCCCTCTGAAGAGTTGTCATCTTTTCTTAAAAAAACACGAGACATTTCCACTACTTTCGCTTGTTTAGCGTTAGCTTCTTTGTATTAGAAATAAGAGATTCAACACTGAAATATTGTGTTTTGAAAAAATGGTTGAAATATTGTGTAGTCATACTTTGTTTTTATGGACCTTAACATTTCTCCTTTATATTTCTATGGTGATCTATAACGGCCAAAATACACCGGGCACGGACACAGCGTGTCACACAGGCAGAGCGGAGCAGGTTTTTTGTTTTGTTTTGTTTTTTTACCTGCTACACTGACTCAGTCTCTGCAGCGAGTGGTTGCTGCAATTTTCACTGCATGTGTATTGATTTTTGCCAAGTGATAATGCAGTTGGTTATGGACAGTTTGGAAGTGAACAGGCTATATTAACTGTTACTAAATTAATTAATTGGATCATTTTAGCATCAGGATGCATCAATTTGTTTGATTTATTTTAATGTGAAATGTAAAAACACACTTGCTCTGCTTTTTCACCTTGCCTGTGGTAAAATGAAGTATTCATTTTTAGAATTTACAGATTCAGATTTACAGATTATGCAAGTTTTTTACACAGTACAAAACAGTTTTTTACTGTTGGAGGGCCACGGAACAGGGAAAAATAGACCAGCCGCGCAAAAAGAGTTGAGCAGTGCAGTGCTTTCTTAGTCAGTGTAACAGCTTCAGTTAATTATAATGGTTGCTGTCTGCTCTGCGCATACAGCGGCTGACGTGTCCTGACATGTACATGAGCCCATGTCCCAATATATTTTGGCCATAAGTCACTTGACAGGTCTTTAACTGCTCAAACCTTACTATGTTTGAATGGCAGTTCCAATTTTTAATAAAAAGTAAGGGCTTTATGGAGTATGCTGGAAACTGTTTTAAGTTTGACTTGCATTGAAGCTCACACACATCTGCACTGAGCTGTGTGTAGTTTATCAAGGTAAGAAAGTGCCAAGTTAAAAGCAAATCAGGATAGGGAGGCATCATGCCTTTTGAGCTGTTGCAGCAGTTTGCCTGTGTAACATCTCTGCAGGGAAGGTCTAGTTTTATTGACAACAGCTTAAAACTACATTTGAAAACTTTTATGAAAATAATTTGTCATCATATTTCATGAAACTGTCCCCACATCAACAGTCTGTTTGTGATGATAGTCAGTGAGAAAAATCATGTTCGTCCTCCTCCTCATAGCGCTTCTAATTGCATTGCTAGAATCTGCCATGGCTTAAAGAAAACCAAAGTTACAATAATGTAACCCTAGTTCTATGGGTAATACTCCTCTAATCATGAGCACACATTCACACAGAAAAAAGAAAAAATGTAGTTGGTCAACCTGGATGATCCTACCTGAATGCATGCAGACTCTATGTAGGGAGGTGGATATCCACCATCAGACATCCTACACCCTCTTCAGCGAGTGGCGTAGGAGCTACAGGGCCCCTAGGTAGAGGGCTATGCCTGTGCCAATAGAACTAGGGTTACAATATTGTATCCTTCATTCTATCTAACACAGGCTCTGCCCTCTTTTGGATTCTATGGGTACAGTGCGTGAACCCCAATGAATGAATGCCCTGTCGCAACATAACATCGATCCAACTAAACTATTGCCATAGTCCGACTTCTTCTTTATAACTACTAACCCAGACTAGGGATATTGTTGAGCGATGGACATTGATGGCTCTGGATATTGTTTGGCTGCCCTTGCTTACACACCTTTTCAGTGTCATGTGGAAGTTGGGTACAGTGCCTGTGGAGTGGCAGACCGGGGTGGTGGTTCCCATTTTTTTAAAAAGCGGACTGGAGGGTATGCTTCAATTATTGGGGTATCACACTGCTCAGCCTCCCTGGGAAAGTTTATTCCAGGGTGCCTGAAAGGAGGCTCTGGCTGACTGTTAAACCTCAGATTCATGAGGACCAATGCAGATTCCGTCCTTGCTGTGGAACAGCAGACCAGCTCCTCACCCTTGTAAGGCTGCTAGAGGGGTTATGAGAGTTTTCTAATCTAGTCTACATGTGTTTTGTTGACTTGGAGAAAGCTTACGACCACATCCCCGGGAAGTCCTGTGGAAGGTATTGCAAGAATACAGGGTTCCAGGTCATTGCTGCATACTTGTATAACCAAAATGAGAGCTATATCTGCACGCTTGGCACAATGTCAAACATGTTTCCAGTGGGTGCTGGCCTCCTCCAGGGTTGTCTCTGGTCACCAATTCTGTTTGTGCTATTTATGGATGGGATCTCAAGGTGCAGCCAGGGGGGAGGAGGGGGTCCAGTCTGGGGCCCACAGAATTGCATCCTTGCAGATGATATGGTTCTCTTGGCTTCATCACTTGACCTCAGGCATTCATTGAAGAGGTTTGCAGCTGCGTGTGAAGCAGTCAGGATCAGAGTCACAACCTCCAAGTCTGAGGCCATGGTTTTCTGCTGAAAAATGGTAGATTTGCCCCTTTGAGTTGGGAGAGAGTTGCTGCTGCAAGCGAAGGAGTTCAAGTAATTCAAGGTCTTATTTACAAGTGAGAGTAAGATGAAGCGTGAGATGGATAGGCGATTTGGCGCTGCACTGGCAGTGACGCGGGCACTGCACTGGACAGTCACGGTGAAGCGGGAGAGTTGAGCCAGATGGCAAAGCTTTTGAGTGACTGGTCCGTCTATGCCTGAACCTTCACCTATGGTCATAAGCTTTGGGTAGTGACAGAAAGATTGAGATCAGTTGATGTGACGGGGCTCAGCCTTAGATATAGGGTGAGGAACTCAGACATACAGAGGGAGCTCAGAGTAGAGCTGCTGCTCCTTCACATCGAAAGGGGCCAATACAGGTGGTTTGCTCATCTGATCAGGATGCCTCCTGGACATCTCCTGTTAGAGGTTTTCTAAAACGTCTAATTGGTAAGAAGAACTGGGGCAGACACAGAACACGCTAGAGGGATTATATTTCTCATTTGGCCTGGGAACACACTGGGATCCCCCAAGAGGAGATGAAAACGTGGCTGGGAGGAGGGACATCTGAAGTACTTTGCTCAGACTGCTGCCTCCGTGACCCAGCTCGGATAAGTGGAAGAGAATGAATGGATGGATGGATGGATGGATAGATGTATGGATGTTCTGAACACTAAAATATGTTTCTGAAAACATCTGTGGTGAGAAATAGGCAATGCAGTAACCTAAACCTGATTCTTGATTCATATTTGATCAGGGCTGCCTAGTTTGACAATTTGACCGCAGTTCATGAGCAATGATTAAGACTGACAGCTAAGATAGAGACTCCTTGGCTCTGACTGGTTATTGTTTTTTCACCTGTGGTGGATTCTTACAAATGCCATTAGGCATTTAAGTACTAGGAGGAAGCTGAGGAACATGATTTGTTTTTCACAGATTATCTGTCCCATTAAGTACTGTCAGGATATTGTAACAGTTTCAGCAAAAATGACAAAAAGTTATTTCTTATAAACATTACCAACTACAGCTTCAACACCAAAAATGGAAAATGAATGGATTAATGAAAGCAGTATTTGTGTTAAAATAATACAGTTGCCATTATGGACTGACACTTTTTGTTAAATGTACAAATTAAAATTGCAGCACATCATAAAACAGAGAGGCTTCTCACTAACTTATGATAATACATACTATCCCTGTGTCTAAAATAAGCCAGGTCAAAAAGAGGCCTGGTTGTCTCTGCAGTTGAGGTAAATATTTGATAATTGCAGTAAATAAGTAATACATAAGTGTGTGTATCTAGGTGCTGACTGACCTGTCATTGAGGCAGCAGTAGATGATGGGGTTGTACATGGTGGAGCTCATAGCCAGCCACATGATGGCCAGGTAAACCTGCTGGATGAATCTTTCTTCAAACATGTCAGGAAAGAACTGGTGCAGCAGGAAGTAGACGTGGTAGGGCAGCCAGCAGATGGCAAACGTACACACAACCACAATCATCATCTTCACCACCTGTTGGATACAACAGCACCATTTTGTCTTCATAGTGTTCATTTGTACTGAAGTGCTTCCCCCTCTATTATGGCTTTCACCAGTGTCCATGTACTTTTCAGAGCAGATCAGACCAGCTGAAGGCTGGGATGTGACAAATTGGTATTAATCTTGCATAAAGCCTTCATGCTGCAAGAGATGTTAGGTTGTCAAAGCACCAGACACGTTAGTACAATGAACATGCCATATACATATACATATATATATGTATATATGTTTATATATATATATAAACATATATACATATATATATGTATATGGTATATATATATATATATATATATATATATACAGTACAGGCCAAAAGTTTGGACACACCTTCTCATTCAATGCGTTTTCTTTATTTTCATGACTATTTACATTGTAGATTCTCACTGAAGGCATCAAAACTATGAATGAACACGTGGAGTTATGTACTTAACAAAAAAAGGTGAAATAACTGAAAACATGTTTTATATTCTAGTTTCTTCAAAATAGCCACCCTTTGCTCTGATTACTGCTTTGCACACTCTTGGCATTCTCTCCATGAGCTTCAAGAGGTAGTCACCTGAAATGGTTTTCCACTTCACAGGTGTGCCTTATCAGGGTTAATTAGTGGAATTTCTTGCTTTATCAATGGGGTTGGGACCATCAGTTGTGTTGTGCAGAAGTCAGGTTAATACACAGCCGACAGCCCTATTGGACAACTGTTAAAATTCATATTATGGCAAGAACCAATCAGCTAACTAAAGAAAAACGAGTGGCCATCATTACTTTAAGAAATGAAGGTCAGTCAGTCCGGAAAATTGCAAAAACTTTAAATGTGTCCCCAAGTGGAGCCGCAAAAACCATCAAGCGCTACAACGAAACTGGCACATATGAGGACCGACCCAGGAAAGGAAGACCAAGAGTCACCTCTGCTTCTGAGGATAAGTTCATCCGAGTCACCAGCCTCAGAAATCGCAAGTTAACAGCAGCTCAGATCAGAGACCAGATGAATGCCACACAGAGTTCTAGCAGCAGACCCATCTCTAGAACAACTGTTAAGAGGAGACTGCGCCAATCAGGCCTTCATGGTCAAATAGCTGCTAGGAAACCACTGCTAAGGAGAGGCAACAAGCAGAAGAGATTTGTTTGGGCCAAGAAACACAAGGAATGGACATTAGACCAGTGGAAATCTGTGCTTTGGTCTGATGAGTCCAAATTTGAGATCTTTGGTTCCAACCGCCGTGTCTTTGTGAGACGCAGAAAAGGTGAATGGATGGATTCCACATGCCTGGTTCCCACTGTGAAGCATGGAGGAGGAGGTGTGATGGTGTGGGGGTGTTTTGCTGGTGACACTGTTGGGGATTTATTCAAAATTGAAGGCACACTGAACCAGCATGGCTACCACAGCATCCTGCAGCGACATGCCATCCCATCCGGTTTGCGTTTAGTTGGACGATCATTTATTTTTCAACAGGACAATGACCCCAAACACACCTCCAGGCTATGTAAGGGCTATTTGACCAAGAAGGAGAGTGATGGAGTGCTGCGGCAGATGACCTGGCCTCCACAGTCACCGGACCTGAACCCAATCGAGATGGTTTGGGGTGAGCTGAACCGCAGAGTGAAGGCAAAGGGGCCAACAAGTGCTAAACACCTCTGGGAACTCCTTCAAGACTGTTGGAAAACCATTTCAGGTGACTACCTCTTGAAGCTCATGGAGAGAATGCCAAGAGTGTGCAAAGCAGTAATCAGAGCAAAGGGTGGCTATTTTGAAGAAACTAGAATATAAAACATGTTTTCAGTTATTTCACCTTTTTTTGTTAAGTACATAACTCCACATGTGTTCATTCATAGTTTTGATGCCTTCAGTGAGAATCTACAATGTAAATAGTCATGAAAATAAAGAAAACGCATTGAATGAGAAGGTGTGTCCAAACTTTTGGCCTGTACTGTATATATATATATATATATATATGACAGGTACAGCAGGTTCTGACAGTTTTCTGCTTGTTTTTGTAATCTTTCGATGATGATACATGCTGTACTACATACATTGTCTCCTCTGAGGACTCAACATTCAACTTCCTTTCTTTAACAAGCTTCTCTGTTGGCTAAACAACAAATCTGTCAGTCGAGACAAAGCTAGGCTGCTTTGACCTCTCTGTCTGTCAGAGGAAACCTAATACTCATATGCATATCATCTGAGCTGTCAATAATAGACAGTGCTCACTGACAATGAACTGAAAATAACACACATGGACAGATGTAACAGATCTGTGAGGCTGCCTCATTAGACTAGGAGGCAGACTCTTATCCTGTATGCGCTATAATAGATCCCACTGATTTTCTTTGCCAGACATGCCATATGTTGTATTCAAGTGTTAGCATAGGCCAGGCGTCCATACTCATGCAGTGCAAGTGTATGTTGATCCTAACCACAGCCATGTGGTTTTTTGTGCTATCATTGTGTGCAGTTTAGTTTAACATAAAACACATTTTACAAACTCTTGATGTATGTTTTGTTTATAAAAACCTGGAGGCTTTACTGGTGCTGGAGAGGCAGTCATAGTGGGTGAGAGGTGAACCAGTGTTTACAGAGCATGTTCGAGACTCCGCATCCAGCAGAGTGTAGACACTGGTGGAAAGCCAAGAGCACTTGGACATGGGCATAGACCTCGCAGACCTCCCAGCCTCCCTCTGGTACTTTAACATGCTGTGCAGACATTGGACCTCCTCTCATCTGCTATGACTGCCTCTTCAGGCCTGGCCACAGCCCCTAAGCAGCCTCCAGCAACCCCACTATCCCAGGCTGTGCTCTCCTCCGCCAGACAACCAGAGGGAGAGTACGAGGTTGGTAGGGTCCTTGCCCAGGACCAAGGGTCCTCTGTCAGCTTTCCTCCAGTGTTCACATATGCCTGGATGTGGAGCTGTGGACTTAGTCATTTTTTTTCTCAGGGTTTACTTCCCTCTGCTCTCTGAACATTTAAAAATTAAATTAAATGAAGGTTTCACGCTCTAGCCAATCACAACACAATAGGACAGGACTTGTCAAGAAAGGCAGTGGGATCCATAATAATGCATACTGTGGTAACATGATCAAGGGAATTGTGAAACTAATAAGGAAGACTCCAAGAAGGAAGATTCTGAGAATTGTCATGAATGCCCTTTCTCCCAGCCTCTATGAGGCTTTGAGGCATAATGGTGTTTTAACATGCTGATGTTTAGCAGATGTAATGTTTACTATGTTCAACATCATCAGCATGTTCAACATGATGGCATACTGAAGTTTGTTTTTTAACACTAACGATTAATTCAGCTGTGGGTGATGGGAATGTCATTAGTACTGCAGTTATTTGGTCATTACATGAAACTTTTGACCTGATGATGGTGGTAAATGAAAAATTAGAAGATCACCAAAATTAAAATATAATTCATCCCGAAAGAGACATGGATGTGTGCAGCAAATCTCATGACAATCCATCCAATAGATGTTGAGAAATTTCACTCAAAACCACAAATTTCAACCTCATCACCAAAGTCTTTAGGATATATCCTCTGGGGAACATGAATATCTGTACAAAATTTCATTGCAATCCAATTCATAGTTATTGAATTATTAAAGCATGGAGCAAAAGAGTGGAGCAATTGGCCAACCATGTGATAATGTATGCCATAAAATGAAGGTAAAGATATCAACTGTTGCAGGACACAAGTAAAACATATTGATTAGAGGGATTCAGATACATCTACATCCATTTGATACATGGGTAAACATTTAAATATTTGAGGGTGAGGAGCTTTAAACATCCATGCGTTCAACGATCTTAAAGGACACTTTCTTTCAAAAAGGTTTCTTAATTGAACCCTTAGTTTACAAAAGCCTTGTTTCCACCAATCAGTCTGGTTCAGTTCAGTTCAATTGACAATGTGACTAAATCAACACACCTTAAATGTCAATATAACTCTTTGTTTTTACTTTGTTTTTACTGTTTCCAGGATGACATATGCTTTAGTAATGATTTAATCTTTTAAGCGTTTCAACCAGATTATGTGAACTGTGAATTCTGTTTCCTCACTTGGAGAAAAACATGGCAGAGCATAGTTCCAGTGCATTTGGTACAGTAACACTACACCCCTGCTCTTAACTGACTGCACAAACCCACTATTTTAAAAACTATCCCATTAAGAGGGACTCTTGTCAGCCTATTCTTTTCTGTTCTTGAAATTTCGCCATGCCAACCCCATTCTGTGGATGATAAACGAGGTGCAGAAGTTCCTTTGTATCACTGGTGAAGAGGACGCGCAGCAAGAGCTGGATGGAGCAATGAGTAACAACATCCCTACATTTAAGAGTACTGTCTGGGGTTGAAATGCTAGAACCTCAGCCCTTCAGGAAGAATCCTTTTGGAACCCTTATTTTTAAGGGTGCGTGGGTAGCTGTCTAAAATGCAAGTTACCTTGCGTTTGGCAGTCAGCTGCTCCTTGTAGCGGTCAGAAGAGTCTCCAGGGATTTCACTGGCCCAGAGGGTCAGTCCCACTACCAGATAAGCACAGCCCATCACCAGTAGAGGAAGGAAGTAGATCAGGATGGCCACACACACATAGTACCTACAACAAGACATATGTTACTAACAATGGCTTCATTCTTTTCAAGTGTCCCAGTTAGAATTTCAGTGCATTTGCATGCACTTAAATTTTTTTCTCGAATCACAAAGTTACTTAAATGTCATGCAAACTAGAAATCCAATTTGTTTGTGAGCAGCATAAATTCCAAACAGAACTGGACACAAAACAAAAAAGAGCAGGAAAAATGTTGTGGAGCTCAGCAAAATCTGAGAAATACATGCAGACACTCTTCAAGTCAGGAAAACAACCTCTACTTACATTTTCTAGGTAAATAAAAAATATATGTATTTTTAATAATGTTCTAAAATATTATTTGAATAGAACATCAAGCAAAACATGTACTTCTAAAACCAAACCTACACCCCCTGCTCCACAACCCTCAAAGCTTAGATTATGACTAGACCTGATCAGCTTTGTGAAGAAATGTAATTAAATGTAAAAATATATGGTAAGTGTTGTCAACAGTTAACCATTAATCGGTTAACCACAGAGAATGTTTATGACCAGTTACACATGTTGGTCTATAGGTTCATTTGCATAAACCTCAAAAACACAACTGTTGGAATTGGCAGGGTTTGTGGAATTGGCATCCATTTGGGGCCTCAAGACTGCTGCTGCTGCTTCTGCTACCAAGACAGAGTGACATGTTGCCAACAGCAGTGCCATGGTGCAACTTCTGGGAGGGGACTAACACAACCCGGCACGTCAGGGGGAAGAGACAGAGAGTGAGGTGGAATGACAGCCTGCTTGAGGGACATCTCCCCATTCTTTGAAAATAATTTCCTTCCCTGACGCAAAGAACAAGAGAGAAGATTTCTGAGGCTTGCCATCTTAGCAAGGTGCAATCTGGCAATCCCTGGGACATCGGTGCCCTCCAAGCAGGTGTTCGTCGCTGCAGGCCTCACAGCCAACAGGCTGCAGACCAGAATCCCAGCAGAGCATGTGGATGTGTTGATCTTCCTCCACAAAAATCGTTAGTTCTTTTCAAAATGTTGATTTGTTGTTAAGATTAAGTGCAGTTATAGCACTTAATTGAAAGCTCTTAAAAATCCATCCTTTGTCCACATTAAATTAGATAATTATAAGAAATGGACATTGAGCTTATGTTTCTGTCATTCAGGCCTTTAGGTACTTTAAAGGAGCAATAAGCGAAATTCATCATTTCTAGATTGAAGGAATTAAAAAATTGCTATGTGAAGAACTAGATGTGTAATTTCATCTGGAGTATAGCATGACCTCACACACCCTCTCTCTGTGTTGATCTCCAGCCCATTGTTTACAAGCCGGTCCGGCTGCGCATTCATGTACGTTCATGTGAATCCCCACCTCCCCTCCTCCCTCTCGGAGCCCTTGGCCCTCCCTCCCTATAAAAGGCTACAGCCAGTGAGCAATGGCAGTGTGTATTTTCGAAGCGAAATGGCGGAGAGCGGAACGAAACCGGGGCTGACCGGTGCTTCCTCCTCAGGCTCCACTTCACTCAGCTGCCCCACAGATCCGCTGCCTCTCCCACTTTAACCTCAATAACAATCCGGAGCTAGCTGGGAGCGGCTGGCGAGGCGTTAGCCGCAGCATGACCGGAGGGAAGCACAGCCAGTTAGCCTCCGCTAGTTTCTTATCTATCCCCGGCTCTCTGTTTGGATCCAACCGGATCACCGAGCCCTGGTTTGTTATTCATGTTAATGTGGGAAGAAGCAGCGGGTTTATCGGGCAGCTGAGTGAAGCTGGGTGAAGTGGAGGCTGCGGAGGAAACACTGGGATGGGTTAATGTCCGGAGCTTGAGTTATTAGCGGCTTGGTCCCAGCAATGGGTCAGGCGTCACCTTGTGTTAGGTGAGTAAGTTAGCCTGGCAGCCCAGCTAACATTTGCAATTAGCATTGTAAAATGTAGCCTCGTGGGCAGCCTGGCGGGCTCGTGGGCAGCCTGGCGGGCTCGTGGGCAGCCTGGCGAGCCAGGCATGCAGCCCGCAAGGCTATATTTTTGTAATATATTTGCTGAGATGGAGGCGAGGCTCAGTGACTAGAAGAGCTGGTAGAAGCGCTCCATAGCTGTAAGTTACTTCAGTAGCCAGTGACAGCCGACTCGGCTAGAGACATCGCTGGATCTCGACTAGTGCTAACACCGGGAGCTAACGCTAACGTTCCTCCTCTTCTCCGTGAGTGAGAGCGATATTTTAGCCTAGCGGGCAGCTGGTTCGCGGGCTGTCCGCTAGGCTAAAACATCGCTTCAGGTTAAAGTGGGAAGAAGCAGCGGGTTTGTCAGGCAGCTGAGTGAAGCTGGGTGAAGTGGAGGCTGCGGAGGAAACACCGGGATGGGTTAATGTCCGGAGCTTGAACAGCCCGCGAGCCAGGTGAGTGCTAACACCGGGAGCAAACGCTAACGTTCCTACTCTTCTCCTTGAATGAGAGCGATGCGGGTAGCGCTGCACTGAAGCCGCCTCTAAATGGCATATAGCAGTGATCTAAAGCAGAAACAGGACAGCACCTCATGTTTCTACCAGTTCTACCAGTCCTTACACACGGTAAAGCACATGACTCTCCTTCTCTCACCAGAGTCCTCTGCTCTGTCAGATCGACATACAGGAAAAGAGCAGAAATAGAAATTAAAAATCAAATCAAATCAAAATTTATCAAAATTTCATAGTCCAGTCCTGTTGTGGCTAATGTGAGCACTGAACCAGCTTTTTTAACCAGCTTGTCCAAACCCTTGGTGTTTTTGTCTTTCAAGCTGCTTCCCCAAAACACTGCAGCGTAGAGAAGTGCACTGGCCACCACTGTGTGATAGAACGTCAACATCTCCACACACACGTCAAAGGACCTCAGTGTCCACAGGAAGAACATGCGGCTCTGCCCCTTCCTGTAGAGGACGCCAGTGTTGGGAGACCAGTCCAGTTTCTCATCCAAGATTTAGCCAGGTTTAATTGTATCAAAGGACATTACAGCTCCTAATATCCTGTTGGTAACTGATGCAGCACGGAGGTCGTCCAGTTTATTTTCCATCACCTGTACAACTGCGAGCAGGATGCTAGTTCAGCTGACGTCCATTCTTCTCTATCTCTTCCTTGATGTTTACTGATGTTTACATTTGAAAACCTCAACCTGTATAGCTAGCAGAAGTGGCAGGAGTGTGCAGACTGGTGAGTTGATTTCCTTATCCTGATGAATGACTCTCAGCCATGTGCCACCATTGTTCAAAGCCAACCACAAAAAGCACCCCCAAGACTTGCGAAATAGACATAAGAGCATAAAAGAGCATACATTTGGCAGAAATCTAGCAGATCTGACAGAGAGGCGACTGGAAACATATATGCCTGTGTCAAATAACCATTAGACATTGTAGTGAATACCAAATAGAAGTCCTTAGTGTCCCACATGCAGTTTAATGTTTATTTTAAGGGCATTTCAGTGGCAGTGGATATTTCCGAGTTAACAGCAGGCCTTTGAATCTTTTTTTCTCCCTGACAACTCCCCCTATCTCCGAAGCACTGATGCAGCAAGCAGTAAAATAAAAAGTTACTCATTCGAGTCAAGAGCTAAATCAATCATCATTAGTTTGTTTGCCAGAGGACTAAGATATTGCTTGGTTTTGTAACACATTTTAAGATGTGAGGGGCATCGGTTAGACCTCTGCTTCAATACCTGTCCAATGAATTTAAACCCTTAATGAGATAATTAAATATGACAGTTAAAGTATTTAGCTCATGATTTGGTAATCTATCACAGACACGCTGTTTAATCGTGTTAATTCCCTGTTAAGTGTTTGCACAGGTTAATAGGGAGTGTTGTGGTCTGTTCATGTATGAATGTGTGTGTGTGTGTGCATTAATGTCCATTAAAATGTGGGTAATCGTATTATATCACCCTGAGCTGTGTAGAGCGAGTGTATATATCGTGTTTAGCTGTGTTTAGAGAGGGAAGACCCCCTGACTCCAGCACCCACAGAGGGACAATCTGTCTTCCCCTCTGTAAATGCTGCAGATGAGACTCACAGGCCATTTTCTTGGCAATTAACTACAATTATGTTAATCCCACCAAATACCCAGGAGCACAGGAGCTTTCGTCAGAGTGCATCGGGACTGCGGAGCTGCCTGATCCACACAGGTGTTTGCAATTACTCTGCTTGATTAGACCTGTGTTCAGTTTGAGGTTGGGCTGAGCTATGCAGGGGATGACAGTATGCATATACATTATGTAGAAATAAAAATGATAAAGGTGTAAGTTGTCTAAAGGCTTAAGGTGCCTTTAGACTTGCAAATGACCACACGCTGAGACACAGATACACTGCATAGAAGATGTGTTCACCAGCCAAGAGAGAACATTGCATAGACAACTAAGATCAGAGCCTTGAGAGCTCCGTCAGGTGGAGTCTTTAGCCTGAAGGGAACTCATATGCAGTGAAGACTTTAAGATTTACAGAGACACTAGTCTGCCTTACAGACTAAACTGAGGAGGACACCTTTAAAATTAATCCTTCACTGCAGTGAAAGCCAAAGCTATAATAAGGGACGGAGGTCTGATATGCCTAGTGTTCTTACAGTATTGTTGCATTACTATCTGTAGTTTGGTTTATGCTGGTTACAGAGGTTACAGTAAACATGGTATGACAAAATAAAACAATGGATCTGATTTTTAGAAAAAAATGTAACAATAAATATGCTGGGCGGCACGGTGGTACAGTGGTTAGCACTGTTGCCTCACAGCAAGAGGGATACACCTTGACCTCCTCCCCCTCTCTCTGTCTCTCTCTAAACACACACACACACACGCACACACACACACACACACACACACTACTTTGAGAGTGCCATGGTGCTTGTCTCTGTTCTCAGTTATGACAGTTATTGCTACTGTATTGCATAGAGTTTGGTTTGCAGGTCAGGTGGTTGATTGTCACACATTTTAAGCATCCAATGAATCTTTCTGTGTGGTTTTATATCCACTCCTGATGCTACTAAATATGGCCGCTAGTCTGGTGCTCCACCCTCA